AACCTATTTCTGAACCCAAGTCTGCTGTTTTCATCACTGCATATTATTTCTCAACAATGTGGAGTTTGAGCAGAGATTCACGATTTCTCTTGTCTTCTCTTGTTGATACATCTTTTACCTCACATTTTATATCACAAGATCACGTACCACAATAAACTCGCCATCAGGTGACAACGTGTACCAGCGATGCAAGAAGTTGTTGAGTGTAAAATGAAAATTGAAATGGATAGGCCGACAGCGAGTCAACGAAAACAACGGTAATGACGACGATATCAAGGTGAGAGGTTATGATGCCTGTCAAGTGACGTGTGTTGTTAGGTGTTAATGAGTTACAGATCAAAATATTAACTGTTTGGTTAGGTTGTGATAAGAGCTACAATACAAGATGGCGGAGAGAGTAAACACACGTTAAAATTAATTTCTTACTGTAAAGGAAATATTCTTATGCAAAAACAATTGACTATCATATTTGTATAATTTGATGCATAAATTATACACTATATAATCTATAATTTAATCAAATACCAATCATACAGGATTTTCTCAAGTAATTTCTAAAACTTTTCAAATTCTCAAAATTAATTCCTGTAGACAGTGTTTAGTCCACCCCCCCCCCTTCCCCACAAGGACAGACCCTTCACAAAACTCCCTCGAGTATGATGACTTAACCCCTGGAATATGATGACTTAACCCTTGAGTATGACAACTCTTGAGTATGATGACTTAAACCTCGAACATGATGACTTAACCCCTGGAATATGAGGACTTAACCCTCGAGTATAATGACTTAACCCGAGTATAATGACTTAACCATAGCCTAAAGTAAAAAAAGTAATAAACTTTAACCAAAAAATTAAATAACTTTCAACCAAAACGAGAAAAGGTTTGAATTTCAAGGAAGAACTAAACAGAATAGAACTTAACGTAAATTAAAACAAAAGCAATAAAATTTGACCTCAGTCTTAAAACAAGAGAAAATATTTACCCAGTCATACAAATAAACCTTTAACAACAACAACAAAAACAAACAAATAAACTCAGACAACTACAAAATACAATATACAAATACATTAACCTTTAAAATTTATATCCAAATTATATAAAAAAAACAGTTATATACTTTCAACCAATATTATAAAAATAGCAAAAAAAAAAATATATCACCCCTTTACCAGGTACACAATGTAAATAATATCTAGACAGCCCTGACAATCTCAGGTATTTGCATAATAACACTCCGCTAAACCTACCTTCCGAATTATTGCCTAAATATACACATTACAATAATTGCCGTGAAAGCTGACCACTTAGGGAGGGAGCTGACCATATGCGTACCTTCAAACATTCTCTAATTGTTTTTCCGCAGAAATTGACGGAAACCTGAACGAAAGAGACAGGTGGAAAGTTGGACAGGAAGCTAGTTAAGACAGACAGAAGGAAAACTGGGTGTGTGTTGGTGGTACAGCCTGGGGTGCTGGAGGAGGTGGTGCAGCAGGGGAGGGAGGTGGTGCAGCCTGGAGTACTGAGGGAGGTGGTGCAGCCTGGAGGTACTGAGGGAGGGAGGTGGAGCAGCCTGGAGGTACTGAGGGGAGGGAGGTGGTGCAGCTTGGGAGTGCTGGGGGAGGGGTGGTGCAGCTGGAGGTACTGAGGAGGAGGTGGTGCAGCTTGGAGTACTGAGGGAGGAGGTGGAGCAGCCTGGAGGTGCTGGGGAGGGAGGTGGTGCAGCAGGGGTGCTGAGGGAGGAGGTGGTGCAGCCTGAGGTACTGAGGGAGGAGGTGGTGCAGCCTGGGGCACTGGGGGAGGGTGGTGCAGCCTGGACTGAGGGAGGAGGTGCTGAGCCTGGAGGTGAGGGGAGGGAGGTGGGGCAGCCTGGAGTACTGGAGGAGGTGGTGCAGCCTGGAGGTACTGAGGGAGGTGGTACAGCCTGGAGGTACTGGGGAGGAGGTGGTGCAGTCTGGAGGTACTGAGGGAGGGAGGTGGTGCAGTCTGGAGGTACTGAGGGAGGGAGGTGGTGCAGCTTGGATAGGGTCACGTGCTTTGGCCAACAACAAAACAACTCTTGGGTTAGGTTAGGTTAGGTTAGGTTAGGTATGCTAGGGACTATTCTGGGATGGGTAGGAGGAGGGAAAAAGAGGGTGGGGAGGATAGAGAGGGAAGAAGGGAGAGGAGTGGAAGTTGGGGAGGATAGTGACACAAGGAATATTTTCGTGTATGTATGTATGTATGTATGTATGTATGTATGTATGTATGTATGTAGTTCGGTGTAAGCCTTATGGGTAGACTGAGATAGAGGAAAAGAATGGGAGGACCTTCACACAACAAAAGACCTACTGAGGTGTGTGTACTAGCATCATCAGAGCCACAGATTACTGTCGTTACAACCACCAATCTAACTCATGAACCCTCAAGGCCACAAGGTTAGGTTACAACACACGTCAAGGTGATTGTTGACGTGCCTTTCTGATCAGTTCTTATTTATAACACAGCTTCAGGTATAGTTCTTATTTATAACACAGCTTCAAGTATAGTTCTTATTTATAACACAGCTTCAAGTATAGTTCTTATTTATAACAATTAAATTAGCTTATTGGTTTAGCATGTGTTATATCTCTTAAGGAAGTTGGTTACAAGTTTGGATTTTCAAGTATATTTCTCCCGTGTGGTTTAGGGACAGAGATGCAGTTGTTGAGTTGACTGTCGCACTCACTCACTCAGAAGGAGGGTTCCTTAATATAAAACTTCCCCGTAATTCACTTATATATCCACGTGTCGTCACCATACTATCATGATCATCGAGCCACGGAATACCATAATATAATCACGGCCTTGAGAGCGACAATAGCAGGAAGGATAATAAAAAAAGTGGAGATAAAAAATATAATAATATCGCCTTGGAAGAAATACTGGAACACCGTATATAAAAAAAATAATAAAACACTACAATAATATACACTTCCGGATTCCTCGATACATTAATGTAATTCACTACAAATTACCTTATACGTCTATTATGTTTTGGTGTATTTTTTTATGTATGGAATTGTAATAAAAATATAAATAGTCTTGGTATACAAACATTCCTTCAATCTAGGAAGAAATACTAACGTGTGTGTATCTGTCCAACGTCATCTGATTTTTTGTCCAAGTTCAGAGAGTTCAATGTTGGCCTGGCATTTGATTTCTTTGACATGCACCCACGAACGCCCCCCACACACACCTCCTACAGTAACCCCTTGGACACCTCAGCAACACACAGGATGAGGAGATGAGTTTGGAGGCCACACACACACACGGGATGTTCATAGTTTTCTAGATTACATGAACACGTTACAGGAGGTGTTCCTGACACTGTTTAGGTGACAAAGGAGAGTTACAGGAGAAGTGATCACGAGAAGTTCCCATCTGCATGGATAAGAGGAGAAGGTTGCGTTTGACATCCTCAAATCCTGTAAATTACAAACACGTTTCGCTGAGTTGTTTGGCAAATTCTCACGAGATTTGTGGGTAGCGATGGAGAACACAAAGACTGTCTCACAGGAAATTATCATCTGGCTAGAATACTGACTCAGTGGACCAGGATGTGAGAATCTGGGAATTCCCGAGAAAATTGAGTTCATCCTCTCCTTTTTTCGTGCTAAAATACACATATATTTAAACGAAGGTGTAGTATATACCTGTGTCTTTAGTCATACAGTAAATATATCCTTATATGTTCACTATATCAGCTATATGAAGCTTGTGTAGATCACCTGTTGTGTGCAGAGGATGTATGTGGTCATGGGTAAGAGTGTTTAGCTGTATTTCTTGGAGTTTGTTAAAGTAAATAAAGATATTATTTGTATGTAAAGATACTTCACTGTGTAGTATACTTAAGTTCATCTCTCATCATCGTGTTTAAAGTATAACTGAACACTGACATTTTGTTCATAGCAGATTGGATTCTCTCAATGTCACTTAAGATATGTGTACCTTCCAGTGAGTGAGTGAGACAACAACAACACGGTTTAAGCTGCGTTATCGACAACTGATTAAAACATTGTGTCAACCAAGCAATGAGTAAACCAAGAGTCCATATTCAGAGGTGACAGACGCAGCTATAAGGAGGATATACACCTACAGTACTTCACCATGAGAACGACTGTGTTAAAGGGTCACACTGAGTACTGAAGACCCCACGTAAAGGTTTTGTACTTTCAGAGGTAAAAGTCTGTAGTTATGTTGGCACAGAGAAGTGAATCCTGGGAGAAGAAAGTAGAGAGAAGGAAAAAGAAGAGAGAAGAAATGAGAACGAAGAATAAGAAGAAATTAGAAGAAATAAGAAGAATGAGAAAAGAAGACAAAGATATAAGACAAAAAAGCATATATATAGGCATAGAAAATAAGAAAAGAAAGGAGAAAAGATGATTTAGCAAAAATGACGAATACAAAATAAGGAAAACAGACAAAGTAAATAAGGACTAAAAGAACACACACACACACACACACACACACACACGACAACGAGGAAGACAACACAACACGCGCGTGCACTCACAGAAATGCACACGCGCGTACCTAAGAAAACTGGCTAACAAATTTAGTACAAATATAAACCACAGACAAATATAAAACTCCCAATGTTAATTAAACAGGATTATTAATTAAGTTCTGTTAATTTGTTGTTTTAAAGTTTGTGTTGTGTTAGGGGAGAGAACATAACCACCACTATATCGGGGTCAGCTGCCGTGAACGGAACTATGGACCCTGAACTTGGTAGATCTTAGCGTTTGTGGCAGATTTTCTCGAGATCAACTCCAACACTCGCCTGCTTCTACCTTCCTAACGCTGTTTCCCTTTAGATTTAATCCTCTATCTTATTTGATAACAGAATTACTTCTTCAATATAAGATTAGCGTGTACTGAAATAGCCCGGTAAAATTCATGATAAAAATAGGTGATTTAGCAACTGGCGGCTCGTAGTAGCGGCACAACACGTCTTGCCTCCACCAGTCAGTCTGTAGCTGGCTGTGTTGAGGGGAGGGTGGCCGCCTCGCCGTCCCGGACCGTAAACTCGTACTTCTCAGTGAAATTCGAGTTATTCACGGATTTAAAAGATAAACTAAAATCCAGATGAATTATACACCTAACGTCTCGTGACTGCAGAAAAGCTCAGGGACATCACGAAGGTTTATTAGTGAGAAATTAAACAGAATTAAGTCTTAGAGTTTGGTGGTACCAGAGATTGAGGTGAATACTCGCTAGTTTTTGTTCTCGAAGTGGAAGGCGGCCTCATCCACACCTGCCAATTATACAGGTAAGTGTCTGTGAAGTCATCAAGGAAATTCTGTGTATGTCTGTGAAAAATTTAAAACTGTCTGGTGTCTGTATGATGCCATTTAAAACTGTCTAGTGTCAGTATGGGGCCATTTAAAACTGTCTAGCGTCAGTATGGGGCCATATAAAACTGACTGATGTCTGTGAAGTCATCAAGGAAATTCTGTGTATGTCTGTGAAAAATTTAAAACTGTCTGGTGTCTGTATGATGCCATTTAAAACTGTCTAGTGTCAGTATGGGGCCATTTAAAACTGTCTAGCGTCAGTATGGGGCCATATAAAACTGACTGATGTCTGTGAAGTCATCAAGGAAATTCTGTGTATGTCTGTGAAAAATTTAAAACTGTCTGGTGTCTGTATGATGCCATTTAAAACTGTCTAGTGTCAGTATGGGGCCATTTAAAACTGTCTAGCGTCAGTATGGGGCCATATAAAACTGACTGGTGTCTGTGAAGTCATTTCAAACTGTCTGTTGTCTTATAAGAATTAACTAAAGCCTATTTGCGAGGTTAACTTTAATTACAGTGTCCGCCCGTGAGTCGCTACCTAAAAACTGGTTAGTGTGCGAGGTTTTCTAAAATGGGAAAATGTCACTTTGTAAAAAATCATTGAAACAAGAAAAGCTATTTACAGCCCATAAAGTTATTAACTATGATTTTTTTTAGTAATATTCACACACTTAATTGCTATTTATTGTAATTTCCTATTATTTTTAAACATATTCACACACCCATTACTATTTTTTGCTATTTACTATTTTTTGCAATGGTTCCCCAGTTGACACCTATGTGATAGCTAGAATGGATAGATGAAGTGAATGAAGTGAATGTAATTATAGAATGAAAGCAATGAATGAATGAATGAAACAGGACACAATGTTACAATAGAAAAGGATAGATGTAAGGATAGATTAGGATACAATGCTCGGGAGGAACACTTCATGATGATGGGGTAGGGGTACTGGGATAGTTGTAATTTGAACATGGTATGATGACATGGGTAGGGTCAGGTAAGGTCAGGTAGGGTCAGGTAAGGTCAGGTAGGGTCAGGTAGGGTCAGGTAAGGTCAGGTCAGGTTGGGTTAGGTTAGAATAATTATAATGTATAACTTTTACTTTAAAGATTAGGTTAGGTTGAGTGTTAGGTTGAGTTAGGTTAGGTTGGGTTACTAGATATTTTTTATTTACTTATTTATTGTCTACATTGGTTAGAGAAATGTTTACAGTATGGGCGGAAAGTTTGGGTTCAGTTTACAGTGAAGGAAGATAATGTGTTTCTGTTTATTTACTTATTATTGTTTGAGTTCTGTAGGTGGTTGTGTTGTGAACTTACCAGGATTATGATGATGATGATGATGATAAGAGGTATAATATTTTCTTATATAAACAATATTTCTGAACAAGTTGCTTGGACACGCGTGTACCATCAAGCAATGGGTTATTATGGCAGGCTATGTACCGCGGCGCCAAGAGGACGTCGCCGTCGGAAACAGGAAGTCGGGGGAAAAAGTGCCCGAGTGACGCGACACCTGGGGGGAAAAAAAGGTAATTTCCTCGGCCGGAGTTCAGGGTGATTCTGGAGGATCAACGACTCCTGCCAACACTACGACTTATGCCTTGTCGATAGTGGTTGGTGTGGCTTATTATTGTTATTAGTTATTGTCATTATTATTATTATTCTTGGTTATTATTATTATTATTGTTAATTATTATTATTATTATTATTATTATTATTATTATTATTATTATTATTATTATTATTATTATTATTATTATTATTATTATTATCATCATCATCATCATCATCATCATCATATCTCAAACGTGCCTTAAAGGTGATTACAAGTTCAATACAAAAATAAGTTTATGTGTGTTTTAAGTGGAGGTGAGGGTTAACACACAGGTAAAGTTTTAAGTAACAGCGTGCTTAAAAAGGTTCAAATAGGAGGCAGGTGCTCACTAAGATGTAGAACCTACGTAACAAGTTCTATTTTTGTCCTTGAACTTAGGTAGGTGTGTCATGAAGGGATAGAACTGTGTATCAACAAGTTATATTCTGAATTTAAACTTACGAGAGACACGGGTGATTACAGAGAGTTAGACCTTTACTGTACTAAGTTCTATATCTCTGTATTTGAACTTGTACGAGAGACAGATGCTTCCAAACAGTTTGAACTTTATTGTAACGATTTATTCTCTGTAACTGAACTGGATATGATAAGGCAGAAGTTAAAGAAGAGATGGACTTTGAGTTTGTTCTGTAATTCTGTATTTGAGTGTGTGGTAATGATAGTGGTTATGGTGCCAGTGTTAGTGGTGGTAGGGGTGGTAGAAGGGGGTAAGATAATGGTGGTAGTTGTGGTAGTAGCAGTGGTACAAGAGGTCATAGTGATGGTGGCAGTGATGCAGTGATGATGGTAGTAGGGCTAGTTTTGGTGGTCACTGTACAGGTGGTGGAAGTGGTGGTAGCGGTACAGGTGGTGGTAGTGGTGGTAGCGGTACAGGTGGTGGTAGTGGTGGTAGCGGTACAGAGGACTGGTAGTGGTGGTAGCTGTACAGGGGGGTGGCAGTGGTGGTAGCGGTACAGGGGGTGGTAGCGGTACAGGGGGTGGTAGTGGTGGTAACGTTCTTAAGTGAGGAAGGAAGACACGCACCAGTCTGACCCGCAGTAGTGTTTCTGGAACCGCTTCGATACCACAGGAAGAGAGACGAGAGGGTGGGAGGGAAGTAGGTAGGTAAGGAAGGGTGGAAGGAGGGAGGGATAAAAGAGTGAAGGGAAGAAGAGAGAGAGAGAATGTGTGTATGTGTGTGTGTGTGCGTGTAATTCATGAATACATACTCTATAAAATAACATTCATAACGTGGGAAAGCTTATATCATGAAGGCACTGTGAGGCGGACAACTTAAACTAAACCACGAGGGAAAAAAGATGGGATCAGGTACCAGCCTTAAGGAACAACTGTCCTTCTAGAGAAAGGACAACACCCAGCTGAAAGGGCAAGTCACAACAGCACTGATGTTTGTACCCGTAAGAACGTCACAGTTGGAAGAGAGGAGAGCAGGGGCGGAACACACGTCTGGCGTTGATATTTTTTTAGTTTTGCATTGGAGGAGAACGCCAGGCTGTTGTTGTTCCGCTCGTACTGTCGAAGTTTCATTTTTTTACGAGTACAGATGACTATATAAACTACGTAAATCATCTACATCGTAATATAGAACTTTATACACTGGAGAGTTGAGAATAATTTAGTAGTATAAAAATAGAGATGAAGATTATAAAAAAAATATATAGAAACGAATGAAGAAAAAACTTAAAATAACAGAGACGTAGAACGGAAGATTTGAAACCCAACTACTCGTTATCTGTTTCCTGAAGATAATTCACGGAAGGAACGGTAAAGAGGAGGAAGAAAACACGGAGATTAGAACAGAAAAAAAAACAGTAAAAGGGAGGAACAACTAGGAAGAGGAACGTAAAGGAAATATAGAAGCCGAGGTATAAAAGAAAGAGGGAGAGACAGGAGAAAATGAGATAAAGAGAGAGATTGAGAGAGATAATACTCGTCAACTATCCAGGGTAACATACCTACCACACGGAATCAGTTTGTCCACAGAGTCAAGAATTAGAGGCATCAGCGGCCCCTGCACGACGCCACGCCTTATACAGCTCAGCGTCGAGAGAAACCCTGCAGAGTATTCAAGGAAGAATCCCTCCCATTGTCTTAGTCTCAGTCCTGCGGATAATGACCCAGATAGTTTCTTTAACGCTTCCTTCGGTAATGGTATGTCGGTCCTTCTGGTGAGTGACTTCTGACGAGGTAACCAGCGTTGGGATACCAGAATACAGCAAGTGATTTTTTTTTACTTAGATTATGTATGGGAGGGAGCGTAGTCTAATCGGTGTGTGTGTGTGTGTGTGTGTGTGTGTAAGAACAGAGAATCACAACCACAGTCTTCAACCCTCTCCAACCTCCACCTCTTCTCCACACCTTAAACCTTCCTGCTCCCCGCCCTCTCACCCCCCACCCCGCAGGAGGTCCCGGAGGCGGAGATAATACTGACGTTTGAGGGGGGTGGGTGGGGTGGGGGGGTGGGGCGTGGTGTGTGTGTGTGTGTGTGCCGGGTAGCAGCTGCCGACGCCCCCAGCACCGCCAGGATCACTATCTTCCAAGCGTCGAAATTTCTCATGTTTATTGTTATTGTTAAAACATTCACGTCTTCCTCAGCCGGCCTCCTAGATATAACACAATACAAGAGTCCTCTATAAGATACACACTGTACACACACATACTACTATATAAATAATACAATATTATAATCGTCTATAAGATATATACACACGTACTAATATATAAATACATCCAGAAGTATTATTGACATTCCGTAACTAAGAACTGTGACGATTATATTAAGGCCAGTGACATTAAAGAAATATTAACACGAGCGAATAACAGCGCCTGTCGTTCATGTCCACGTTCTAAAGAAAAGCTTATGAAACCTTGATCTACACCAGACGCACGTTCGCCCGCGTAGGGAAGAAGAGCAGGAGAGAGTAACGTGTGTGTGTACGTGTGTGTGTGTGTGTGTGCGTTCACATGACACGTAATATAAACTGCAGTTAACTGTTAATTCGTTCATGATGTTAACTGGCTCGTACACACAGTCATCTTAACACTCTGGGCATTTATTAACGGTGTCTCCATACAAGTCCTTAACCTAACCGGCCGGAAATATGGTCTTAAATCATCGTAATGGGCGACGTCTTAAACCACTTGGAAAATATATTAAACTTTATCCTCCCATTAGTGATATTTAAGGCACTAACTTTTGGAAAATGAGGAGACAGGTGGTGGAACACACGTCTGGCGTTGATATTTTTTTAGTTTTGCATTGGAGGAGAACGCCAGGCTGTTGTTGTTCCGCTCGTACTGTCGAAGTTTCATTTTTTTACGAGTACAGATGACTATATAAACTACGTAAAT